TTTCGATGGGCTGCTCGTGTGACGGGCCTTCAAAAGTGGGGCAAAGTCATGTGAATGACTTCATTCTCCCTTGATGATTACAGACAACTGATACGACAGGAGATTAGCCACTGTACACGAAACAGTGGTCACTGATCTGCAAGGCCCGAACATATGTATGTCCACACATTTTGTAGGAATTCTTTATGGTGGAGCAGGGTGTCTTACGAAGACGTATGTAATGTCAATCACTTTAGAAACATGGCAGACCAGCTCAATCTGATAGTGTTGTGGATAGTCACTTGATCGCCTGGAGCGCTCCGCCAAACCTCAAAAGTCAGTGAACGTGCCAGTGAGCTGCTCGCGTACAAAAGTGATACTAAGAGTACAACTAATCTGTCAAGGGCGAGTGAAGCTCTACGGGAAGGACGGAGACCCTTGCGAAAATCTTTCGGCTTCCGGCAGCATGACGCAGCGTATCTCAAAGTCTTTGACGTTTGTTCACGCAGGCGTTTTTTGTGCTTTTATGCCTCAAGCCATGAAGTGAAGTCGCGCCTAGATATTACCGGAGAAGAATCAGAAGGCTGTTCCAAGACAGAAATTTCAACTCATTGGCCAACTAACCCTTTGTTCGCTTTGCTTGTATGCGAGTCCCAGCGGATCAGTTTGATTGATCCAATGAGAGGAACTGTTCTCGAATCAGACTGCACGCAACACCACAAATTATGGGCTCTACGGTGGAGAGGGACGGTTCAAAAACTGTGCATCCGATCGCCTCACGTATTGAGCGTTCATGCTTGCTTCGGTCAGTTTCTCATATTCATGTGCTAAAATCCATTATCTGGACCGATCCAACGGCGCACCACACCACAACAAAGTTCCGAAGCTACCAATCAGAACAACGCCCAATAACCATTGTTTTGAGGTGGAGCGCGGTTCATCATTTGTTCTCAGTTTGAGACATTCGCCGTACAACCGGCATGTTTGTATGATTAGAAGTAGAAGCAACACGTTCTGTATTCTAAATTTCTGGCTTTAAAATCTGCTAAATACGCAGTCCACGTGAACTGATCAGACGTTTGAATTACCTCAGCCTCCGAATATGCAAGAGGCCAAGTACCGGTGATGTGACTCTTTTGTAAGTTCTTGTTACGGCAAGAGAGCATAACTTGTGACGGCCATGTGAAATACCATATACAAACATTTCACACTCAAATCTGCCAGTATGTTCGTTCTGTTTAACATCGCCATGCAGCCGTGTGTTCTTGGCTCAAACTGTTTATTTCTACTGTAATTCGTGCAAAAATCCTTTCTGTCCTTGATATCCATACACGAGGACAAAGAAGGCCACAAACTCAACTTGGGAAACGCGACAATTTTGGCTTACGGAGGCACGAGACACGGAAGAAAATCTTTGGAAGCATGGTAGACCACGGCGGACCAACATCTCAACCGGAAAATTCAAGGAGGCCCGAATATCGGATACACAAACAATGAAACAAGGAACTCCTTGTAAGCAAATCAATAAAGGTCACAAACCCGAGCTCGAAAGGACAAAGGTCACTCTAGCATCGACCAGATCACGACGGCAGCGGATGCCAAGCTCATAGGTCACGTAGACATCGGCGAGTGAGGACACGGGACATCGGAGCAACCAATGGAATCACCCGACCGAACAACTAATCGCGTTCAAAAGTAACCCCCTGCCAGCAGCACGTATATTAACACACGCACAACCACCAACCCACCGCTACGCACTACTACGCTCCACAATAACGCAGTGATGATGTCAACTCGATTGGTGATGAAACGTTTGCAATCAAATTGCCCAGCTCAGCGAACAAGCCAACGACCACCATCTACGATACCTGAGCTACCAACATTTTCCTCTATAGAAAATCCCCCTCTGTTTGAAAATAGCAAGATTGAAGATAATGTAGTTGTATCATTATGGAGTGAAAAACTCATGAGTCCCTGATTAATTCATGTTCACTTCCGCTGCCTAATCCATACCGGTTTATCACACTTACATTTTTAATGTGACTGTTAAACTTTCACTTGGTCAGGCTCGTTTGCCATCGGCTGTCTGTGTTGTGGTAAGCCTGACCAGTCTTTTCTCTTTAACGCTGCTTGCCCAGGCATTGGTAACCAGGTCATCGCATGTCCTCTTTTGGATGTAAACCCCTTGGTGGCGCCTAACTCTGTGAAGTGCATGCCAGTTACCGGTTATGCCGGCCAATGAGCGGCAAATTTCCAGCTTTGTTTTCTGATGTTCAGCTGTTTGTTTCCCAAACATCCGAATGATCGATGCTTATCGATTGTTTGTATGACCTCACATCATAATACACGTCAAAGGGGACGTGCCATTTAACGTCCAGACTGGAGAAGTTAAAGTAGTGGCTACGCTTCAATGAATGAAATTCTGAGAGCGAGAGGGAGCAGATCAAGGGAAAGCACTAGTCTAGCTGATTTATACTTACGAAATTACTCAAGACTCATTATTTCAGCTTAACAGCAGAACCAGTCAAGGTTGTCCTGTATCCAAGTTCAGTTTGTACTTTCTATCAGACGGCCAAGGATAACTGTTCCGATACCTGATAACGCTGACTGCTACATTTCGATTTGCAGCCTTAGCTTGGAATCTTGCTTTCGTACTGGAAAATACAGCTGCACAGGCTGGGTGCGTAGCAAACTTACTTCGGGTTGACGATCCATATCGTGCTTACCCGGATTTGAGTGAATCTAGGATGGCAATACAAAGTACGCGTTGTCTGGCGCGACATAGCAGTAATGCTCTTTAGGAGAAAAAACATATAAAGCAAGCAGTTAGACAACTGCCTGCCGCACAATTCTCACTTAGTGCTACCCCTAGATAGGAATACGAGCTGCTGACATCCGACTGCAGGTTGCATTGGTCAAGTTTTTTTCGACCTTTATCCTGCCAAAATTTTCCAGGCTTCTCAATGAATGCTGGATGAGCAAGAAACAAATGCCACATACAAGCCAAACAGACCCTAACCGACTGTAATAGTCGAACTAATGACCCGTTGAACACATTGTCGATGGCTCAATCAAGGGTCCCTAATAAACTCACTCTGGTCTATCGACTAAATCCTTGTTCACTCTCGTTTGCTGTCCGCTCGCTTCAATTAATTGTTCGGATATCTACTTTGCAATATCCGCTATGTACCATCCAAATCCATATATGCGCCAGTTCGTGTAAGACAGTTAGCGGTAGTGCCAAGACTAAAAAAATACATTCTCGCATTCGCATTGTGGATAAATATTTCCATTTATGCAAAGGACCGCTTGTCAGACGGTTGCAAAACTTGGTGAAGACAGCTCCACACCGTAGGCAGTCGCTCCACTCCCAGGTGTGCAAAACGATCGAGCTCAACGTTGCGTGCTTCTCAGGTCGAGCGGGAGGGTGCGAATTCGGGCAGGTATCAAAGAACGAAGTCGGAACAAAGACCAGCTTCGTGAGCTACTTCTGTACGTTAGTGGATACCATAGGCTGTTGGACGAGCTACTGATAATGAACTCAACAAGTATGACATTCATATACATAGTTTCCAGTCAGCAAATAAATCCATGGTCGCAATTTTTGGGGTTTTGCGGGACAGGTAATTTGTTCATAGTCGCACCACTCTCGTTTGAACGGCCGTCCTCCTGTTCTGGCGTAAGTATTCCGATGAGCCCACACCAAAGGGAGGCACCAAACTCGAGTTTCGCTCTAATTAGAGCTCATCAGCAGTGCATATCCAATGGCCGTGCAGGGATTTGAGACCCGGACGTTTGACATGCGAGGCGAGCGTGTAGCCACTACACCAACGCATGTTGGGGGCATCTGAGTTTCCACGTCTGAACAGGCGAACGTGTTCACACTTGAGCGATGTGATTGGTGTGCCCGACCAGTGGGTTTCAAGCGTGTCACGCTACCTGACTGGCGGGTCAATCGATCGTCACAACCAGGACAGTAATTGGGTCGTCGTTCGATGGGTCGGGCACACCAATCACATCGCTCAAGTGTGAACACGTTCGCCTGTTCAGACGTGATAATTCAGATGCGGCCAACGTGCGTTGGTGGAGTAGTAGTTACACGCTCGCCTCACATGCCAGATGTCCGGGGTTCAAATCCCTGCACGGCCATTGGATATGCACTGCTGATGAGCTCTAATAAGAGCAAAACTCGAGTTTGGTGCCTCCATTTGGTGTGGGCTCATCGGAATACTTACGCCAGAACAGGAGGACGGTCGTTCAAGCGAGTGGTGTGACTACGAACAAGATCCATGGTCATCTGCAGTCCTATATGACCTAAGTTTTCGGTGCGTCTGACAGGTAGAATACTTCCGCAAAATTGACAGAAATGCGTGTGCTCGATTCATACATGATCGGTTATTTTATGGTTGGCGCAAACGTTAGAGTAAACGAGTTTGTACAACTTTTTAGCGCCTTGTTACGGCAGTCTAAGAGCCCAGCTACTGGTGTCAGAGATAAGAATGCACAAGCGAGTAGGCTTAGTGTTGCTGAGACTCAATTGGGTAAGCGTCTTGGACTGGAAGTGAGACACACGAACAAAGGAGAACACCTGCTGCAATCATGTGCTGACCACAGACTGTTTTCGTGCAGTGCTGACTTCCAAAACAACTGAAACCGCTTGACCGGACAGTACCTCAACACGCAAGCCAACCTTCAGCACAGACAAGCCACATCGCCATTAGCTATCGTTGGCACGAGTCGATTACTGACGGTCGCCCGTTCTGGAGCACTAGTGTGGATTCCAATCGTACGCCTGTTCGTCACTTCTTCTGGTTGCGCTCTTGACGGGCGCTCCAGATGCGCAGTCATCTGGCATTTGAAAAGCTCTCTCAATAAAAGGTATATTGATTGCCGTTACCAAGTAAGGATGATGAGGTTATTAGCTAAAAATGATAAAACTAACAAAAAAAACTGTACAAAAACAAAGTCACCAAAATATACAGAAAACGAATGTATAGACTACAAGAATGCCATTTAGCGCATCAATCAGTTCCAAGGGAGATAGGCTGAGCCCAATTAAGTTCCTCAGCAAACATGCCAGAGTTCGATTCGACACGAAGTAAATCTGCCAACTGACCCAGAGTCATTTGCATCAAGTGAGCCCGATCTTCTCCAGGACCTGCTAGCCCAGAGGTCCTGGAACTAGTACGTTTGGCACCCGCTCCGATCATGCATTCAGTTGAGGTGATTGTATCCCAGGTTGCATCTGAGGTCATTGAGTTAGCTTGTGCTCGTACGTGGGTCATGTGGAGAGCGGCTTCAATGCTGTCTTTCACAAGAAAGCGATGAACTATGCCGGGGCTGGAGAAATCAACGAAAAGAAAAAACGCAATAAGGCCTTTAAACTGGTAACACAGATGGGCATGAAACTTCACTAGCTTGTGAGTGAATTGCCAGAGCTCCCGCACCATCCCGGTGATTCAAAGAAAGTCGGGTTCAGATCACTTTTATCCAATCAGCCCTTCGGCAAACCTGGCACAACTATTCCGAAGCGAGGAAGCAACATGGGAGCCCATCAGCAATGTATACCTTTGGCTGTGCAAGAATATACACCAGAGGTATCTGTCAAACAACGGAAGCGTGTAAGCATTGCTATACACAACACGCATCCGATCAGGTGAACACGCTAAAATTTGGTCAATGTGGTTGGTTTGCCGGAAGGATCAAAAGATGATACCAGAGGAACTGTTAATTGCATTTTATTCTACCTGGGTCCCGATGCTTCTTGGTTTAGTTGTTGTGCACAGAAATGAAGAGTGACATCCGGTGTGAAATCGACTAAATGAATCAGTTCAAAAAGGTCTTTCCTGAAAGCGGTTCGTTCTTGAAACAGGAGTGCAGCCAAACAAAAATTGGTTACAGTGGACTGTTTGTCGCGACTTCTCATTAGCCTATTATAAGGTAAATGGTCTTTTGAAAGAAACATTTTTATCCACTGTTCACTTTTCGACTTGTTCTCAATGCGTGATCCAGTATTCTCAATGTACTCATGTGAAACTATCCTTACGATCGCTTACAAAAATCCCGGAATTGTTGACAGATTCAGTATTCTTTTGTCAACCTTTCCGCCCATAATTTCCTTTCTGAATTTAACACCTTATACCTTGAAGAAGGTATTAACGTCGAAGACGTTAATTCAGGCTACAGTCGGCCGACTGATGGCGTCCGAAACAAGATACAGAGCAAAGAACTTTATTGCGCGAACCTTCCACCCTTTAAACATGATATTCAGTGACGGTTGTTTCGTCCACTATTCTGGTCATGTGCCACAAATGCACTCTGACCGCTTGTAGGTCAATGAAGGGGATAAATGGAATGGCTGTATCACTTGGCTATAGTCATCAACAAAAACAAGTACCCAGTATAAAAGACTTCAAGTGGTTTTAGAAGTGAGGATTTTGATTGCCCTGGTCGTAGAAAAAGACCTTTAAACTTTTCACATTGAAATACCGCATGCCAACAATGCTGCTATGTGTCCTCTCAGAGGGAATGATAGAGAAGGGCCTACATTTAAAAGTATGTCCAAGTAAAAGCTTGGGTGCGACTCTGTCAGTACCTCTATTGCTGAGGGTTATAATGATACCTGGCAAGAGCACCAATGACAATGATATATAAACAAACGAATTATCTACACGGTATCTAATGTATTCTCAAAGAGAGACAGTAGAATTTAGTTGGGCGGGGAACTTCGCAATGAAGGACAACCGGCGGAAAATTTATTGAATTAAGACGTGTTTGGCTACTAAGAAGTATCAATCCAACTTGCCGGGTTTGCCCAATACGGTGCATACGGGCGATGGCTTGAGCTTCTCTACCGTGGGAGAGGACAGGATCAACCAGAAGCAAGTGGTTGGCGCTGGTCAAATTCAATCCATTGGATCCCAGTTGAATGGGCATAAGGAGAATCCAAGTGGCAGAACCGAAACAGTGAAATCCGGTCAGTCGTCCAGGACAACATGCATCGCGTGGATGAAACAGAGTAGTATATGATAACCCATTTTGTTCCAGTGCACCAGCGATTGTAACAAGAACCGAAAGCCACTACAATTAGAACAGAGCAATAGTGAGATGGAATGCAGAGTCGAAGTTGCAGTTGACGAGAAAAAAATATCCTAGTGTTAAACACTGAATGGAGCCTTTAAGGCAGCTGGAAACAAACAGGAAATATAACACAGGTGCTAACAACAGCTTCCTTCGGTGAATTACAACGGGTGAAACGCTGACACAGTGAAACAAGAATGAAAACGGTGGCCCGATTTCAGAGGCAACAGTTCTCAGATGAGATTACCGTTAGCTGGCCGCTTTAAGATGTGGACTTTCCTAAGAGATGACCGTAGTTTCTAAACAAAGACATGGGGAAGGGGAACTAAAACGAGCAAGATAAAGAAAATTATGAAGTGCTGATTAAAGAACCGATGTCTTGAGACGGATAGGGGTATGCTACCTTGGTAAAAAGAGGTCAGTTACTTTCAGATGACGTAAACAGACGAGAGTTTGAATGCTTCCCTCAAGCATCAGGATAGCAAGATGTTAGAGGAAACTAGCAAGATAATCTAGTAGATCCTATTCGGTGGCTCGGATTCGGAGTCGAATACCAAGCAAGGATGTTGGGGTGAAACATTGATGGGCAATGATGGAAGAAAACAGACTTATACTCTTCACTTTAGAGATGAGCCTAAGTGGTCAAACGGATGGGATACTGCGTGAATACACTTTCAAAAAAGAAAGGCTCACCGAACTGAATACGATAGCCTTGGCATCGGGATCATCAAGTTTTATTTGTTTCAAGCACCGGATAACAGCTTTGACTTTTGAGCTGTGGTCACCCTGAAAGAGGATAGGACTTGACTTAGAAGGAATAAACGTTCGCATCGTAAAGTTCTGATGGAAACACAAAATTATCCAAACCAACTCAGCTTCAAAGACTCTCAAAACTGCCTGTATAACAGCATGTAGGTAGGCTAGCGAACATCTACCTTTTGATTCGGCTTGTCGGGTGGGCATATTAGGATCGGTAACACCAAATGCAGTCAACTGGTAAGTCACGGAAAAGCAACAGATGTGTTTCATCTTGGTTCGCTCTCATCAAATGAATGCAGCAGAATCCGATTACCTGATGTTTCGGTTTTAAATCTAACCGCAATATTACGCGACCATTTAACTCAGTAGTGTTCCATTCCAAAACGAGACGTTCAAGTAAGACCAGACTCCCGCAGACTTTATCCCTTCACCTACGTGTTCTGTTGGATTGCAACCGATATCGATCGATCCTCGCCTGTTCGCGCCAGACCAACGACAATTCTTTTAATAACAATAGTTTAGGTGCGGTTATAAATGTGGTGTGTGGCTATCTTCGACAACATGCTGCAACAGTTATGTATTTATCATATATTTATATATATTTTATCACATTTCGTCCAAAAATGACAAAAATCAGAGAAATACAATACCTATGTATTCTTCTCAAAAACGTAACCACGTTTATCCTCCCTATCAGCGAGTGCCCTAAGAGAGAAGAGGATCAAGGCGCACGTCTCAAGAAACATGGTTAAGCAAATTGGTATGAATCGTTTGGTTTCGTTGTAGTGGATTGACGATTCCGATGACTTGCTAGGGTAGGAAGATCGGTGCAACTGGGCATCTCTCTCCGACGGATTCGGATGGTCTGTTTGGGATGTCAGTGGCTTCAACTGTGTCATGCGGACACGCTATCAGGTCCGCTCACGCTCAAGTGTGGTTCGGGTGAGTGTGTGAATCGGCCAGCCTTCAAATCGGCGTGACTGCGGTAGAAGTAACTATTTTTTCGCCATCAAACACACACCTAGGTTCAATTTTTATTTAGAAGAGCAGGCATTCAAGCAGTTTGTAGATTAGACATAAGCTGGCGTCGACGCCATAGAGAATGAATTCCTTAAACGAGCACTGCTTGGGAAATCGAGAATGCAATGAAATAGAAGCATAGGCAAAACAAGCCTTGGCCAAGTGTCCAGTACGTCTCAAACTTTAAGGGTGGCTGATACGGACTTGAGCTTCATGAATCAACCTCCAAACCTAGCGGAACTCCGTACAAATTCATGTTCTAAAAAGCTAATTGGATGAAAGGCCTTGAAGAAGAGGACTGGTAAGGAAAGATCGTAAAGAATGTAATAATGGACAATCAGCTGTAATTGGCATTCCACTAAACCGTAGCCTGCGCGTAACTCACCACGACAGAAAATTGAATTCCGTCTGAGTGTTGATCGTCGGCTGCGATAGAAGCAGTATTAGTTTCCCCTGAATAATGAATCAATGTGAGTGGACGCCGACGCCGTGCGTTAAATCCGGTTGTTTCGTTCGACTGAAAAGGAGCACGACAAACAGGACAACGTCGTTGTACAACTTGACCCTGGTTAGCGATCCTATCATGACACGTGATACACAGAGTATGCCAGCAGCCGGGAAGTAGTACAAAAGTTGGATTCTGGGGTGAATGCATTTGCAGACAAGTGGGACACTCCATCCTGAACGTTCTGTCAGTTTTCTTCGTATTGTCTGATTCCGCAGGCCCATCGCTCCCGGTAACTGCGGTCAAGTACGCGTTGCGTAAGAAACCAAAATGCCCAAGACGAGATTGAAGACGAGGCCACACGAGCCCCGCGTCCACCGTGTATGAACGTAGCTGAGCATCCACCTGAATAGGATATTTATTAATCAATAATATACGTGAAAAAGTTCAGATTTAAATGAAAATCCCATACATTATGAAAGTGTTCAAAATGACTTTCCGGCAACTGAATGGAACTAGAGTAGAGCGGTACAACACGCTCTTCACTAGGACTTGTGCCAACCTCCGAACCTAGCTTTGCCCCAAAGTTGACCGCATTGACCACGATCGTGAACCACACAGACGCTTGGATAGATCTTTTCTACAATAAACGAACAACCAATGAACTGCCGTGTGTCTTGAGGACAGCGGATGGTTCAACAGAGGGTATCCAAGATATTTGAATTCGAGTCTCGGGACATCTAGAATGCCAATGAGAGCTTAAACCTAGAAGCACAATAAAAGATAATCATGTCATTACCGGGGTAGGACGATTGATCTTTTTAATCGCCCTTAACAAGCCATTAGGTCTGTCGAGATTACATGCTTGTTCATGCAGAGATGTTCTATAGGCGTTCATAGTGCTTCGGTATCCCCCTTAAGATATCCATTAAAGAAATTTCAAAACGATGCGTTCAGATGTTGAACGATTTTCGAGACATCTTAACTCAGCAGCGAGTCATCTGTAGATTTTCATCAGGATTTCTAGAAGTCCTATCATGGAAAGATATAAAAATGAAAAATATTAGAAGGGATGCCCGCTTCCTATGGAAACATGCTATGGCGACAAACGACAGGTAGTTGTTCAACAGGCATATGAGATTTAAATCTGTTGAATTACGGGGGTACTTGAAGAATAGCACAGCACTCATACCTCGTGCTCGTGAATGAACGCAAGGTCCGTTGAACAGGTGGCCTGGAGGCGAACAACGAACTGTTCGGTATCATCATGAATATTCCACCATTCTTTGGTAAGCGACACAGTTCGGCTAGTTAACTGAAACAAGAGGCAGACCAACAGTTCACAGGATTACTGAACATAGGCGCAAGGGTAGACGGTAGGAAGTGGGAATCACCGTCACTCACCAAGACCTCCTTGCCCATTTGACGAAACAGCTGTTCGAAACGTTTTGCGCGTTGTGGCCAGTCTGATTGATAC